CGGCCGAGCGCCACAACCTTACATTTGTGCGTAAAAGTGAATTTCTTACATTTGGAGACCAACTGCGACCTTATATCATGTCACGTAACGAAGATGTAAAAAATTATCGATTGTTTGCACGGGGCCGTTTTCCTAGTTTTTCCGGGTGTGCAATGAACAGGCTTGGTAATTCAACATCAATGCGGGGCAGACTTAAGTCCACAGATTGCACCAGGCCTAGTTAGGCGATCTATTGACCTCTGACCTCTCAGAGGTCAAGACCGATCAGTGGCCTCGCATACCAAGATAGACGCAACGTGACTGCAGTTTTTTTCGAGTAACGCAACTGCGCGGAGCATCATCGCATGTATACAGTTTTCAATATTTTGACAAGTTTGATACGGCAGGATAATTTTAGTTCACGTTATATCACGAGGATGCGGAATGGTGACACATCGGGCTGAACCCATTGACCTTATTCATTCTGTTCCCCAGGCGTACTTTTCACGGAATTCGCTTTCTTTATTATGTGGTCATAAATTGGACTTCATATAAACATAACGCCTTCAGTCCTGGTTTTCCGGTATTATGAATTCAAGTTCAGTGATGAGCTGACGACATTCATTATACCAGGAGGCAATGCTAAAATAACTTTGAGTGCTATGATAATGCAACGATTGTGCAATTTGAGAGATTATGAGTGCAACGATTATGTTCATGATAAGCAATATTTCGAGTTGTACTCATCCGCTACAGCTCATCTATGGAGGATGGTCACAGAGCAGCAGATGGGTGTTAGTACCTATCTAGTGACGTTTTTTTCATGGCGCCTCGTAGTTTCAGAAAATGTGACATGAAGATTTCTCATCTTTTTTGTGTTCAAAGACGGACTATTTGAAGGAGAAGAGCCAACCGCTATCTAGCCACAGTATCTCGCTGCTGCATTGGATACCGCGCGTGTCAGCAAATGGCCCCTCCAGAGGGCTATGGGATGCATAAAATTTGAGCAGCTGTTGGGATCTTCCTGGAAGTATCAGCCACTGACGTCTCTTCGTGGCTCCAAAATCTCATGAAAGAAGAATACCGAAATATTCAGTTCCGGCCCTCCGACCCACATGGCCTCCATTTTCGAGAGGCACCAAATTAAAGGGGCCAAAAGAATCCGAAATGCTTACATTCAAGACACGCCGAATTCCAAAGACACTACAATATCCGTGCCATGTTTATTTTATTTTCGGCCCCATAATCTTTGTTTTCAAGAGGCAATTTCAGTGGACGCCACAAAGGGCCCCAAAACGTTTACCGTCATGGGATAATAAATTCAACAAGGCACCGCAGTGCTCTTACCTTCCTTTGACCAAGGCCGGGATCGGCCCATTTCCCGATGGCTCACCAAAACTTTATTTTGAGGCACCATAACTGTTACTGTCAAGAGGCACCAAATCCAAACCGGTTATTTAAAGTGTCCAAACATCTACATTTTCAAGGGGCAGCAAAATCAGGGGCAACACAACTTCTGTGCATTTCACCCAGACGAAATCCTGGGTGGGCATTGTAGGAAGTTTGTAGGCTGCCGATAGGCTGCCGAAAATTTCGTATCAATGACGCGTTCCTGATACAACGCAGCCGTTTTCATTTCTGAATAATATATATTTTTAGTCATTTCATAGTCACACTCTGAAACTAATCATTTAGTTGTTATGGGCGCAAAATGACCACAGTAGTCGACGCGCCCTAAAACTCCAATCAACAACAACAACAACCGGGTGGGCATCTTCGGCGAAGAGATATCCAAAGTCGTCATTTCAGGCATTATGACCTGAATTTTCAAGAGATACCCGATTATGGGGAGGCACCAGAAGGGCTCCTAACCTTATAAGGTAAATGGTGTCAGTTGCCAGGTGGCACCACAAACCTTCCCTAAATCGTGTACGAGGAATCAGGGCGCCACCATCGGGGGGACAGGAACACGTGACCAACCTTAGGCCCTGAGATCCAGAGAGACCGGCGGTCGAAGACGAAGGCGAAACGACGGTCGAAGACGGAGAGACGAAGGGTCTGATCGGAGGGTCCGAAGGGCAGGGCGGGAGAGGCATACGAAAGGATCCCAGTCGGAAGGCCAGACCCTCAAAATTCAGTCGGCGGGCCTCTTACACCGATCAGGGGCCGCCTGGGACAATGGAGGCTTTTGTCAGACGGTTGACCGCGATCACTTATACCGAACAGTCGATTCACGCTGTTCCGGGCTTTATGGCGTCTTCATAAGTAGGGACAGGGCCGGAGCCTGCAAATCAGTAACATCAGTAGCATCTTGCTTGGGTCGGGCCCCTAAAACGGTAAAGGGTCCACAGGAGACTCTGTGATTGTAATGAGCCTTAACTCGGCTAGAGGCACGTTTGCTGGACAGGGTCAGGAGCGAATGTTAAAAGGCCTCTTGCGTTGGTCAGTGCCCACTTGGCAAAGCAAGCAGGCATGTGAAAGGATAACGCATGGGTTCGCATTCACAATGAGTTAAGCATGTGTCATTCAGAGGCTCCAGCGCCGAACGAGGCGCCCTCCGCACCGTTTCAACCAAAGGCCGATAAGCCGAATGGGTGTCTCGGGGCAAATTTGTGGACTCCCTGCGCCGGTAATGGATCCTTTCGCGTCAGTGACGGCTACTTCGTTGATGCTGTGCCGGATGTCCAAGTCGAGGGCCCGCCGCATCAGGGTATGTTACCTACACTTAGATCCATAAAGTAGATTTGCATGTAAGAGAACTGCACTAGCAGTTGCATATGTTCATAATGGAGCCAATAAAACGATAATGGCAGGGCTGAGGTGTGAGAAGAGTAAATATCCCGGCGATACGCAAACACGCAGCCGAAAAGGTGCATACAAAAGTTTGCCGCGTAAATAGGTCGTTCTGTTTCGGCGTTGCGAAAAAAACTATTATTCACTGACCTGATACATATGTTTTACACATAAGCAGCCAACGAATGGAAATCTAAACGCAAAAACCGGACACGCCAATTAATTCGCTTTAAGATACGCTAAACATTGAGCGTGGTAAATGCATTTGGCAACAGCAACAGTAAAAACATGTTTTCATCATAACAAAACTGCCCGTGGGCCTTGACATATGTGAATGGGTGCTGACGAGATCAAACAAATACTGATGCAAAAGTTCCAGGCATACGAGATGGCGGCCGGTGCACCCCGGCTGCGCCATTGCCAGCTGAATGCTAATATGACTCGTGCAGTCGCTGGCGCTCCATAGAGCGGTGCGCGATCACGTGCGTCGCGTTCCTTTTCTTAACAGTTTCACCGCAGATGACAGTAGCCGCGTTTTTCCGATGAATCTTTATCCTCTAATGCGGGACGGTTTTGTGTGCTGGCGCCGCACTATACCTGATATCCCTTGTTTTTTAACACGTGGAACCCATTTAGGGGTTTTCGTACTTCACTTACTGAAAAATTGGAGGTCTACTAGATGCGGCTTTCTGCTGGTTTAGTTGTACGAAAGTTGACAGTGGCTGGTCAGTCGAGTTGTGTGGTGCCTGACTTTGATGGCATTTAGCGCTCTACTTTGGCGCCTTTCGCCATACCTTCTCCGACATATTAATGCAAGGGTCCATCAGCGTCGGGGAAAAGATGCACGTGCGCCATGCCCATGCATATCTACTCATGTTTATCCCTCCACGATGGACAGCGGGCGGTGGTTTCTGATTGCAAAATAAGGACGTGAAAATGAAGTGACCAAAATCTAGGGAATTTTTGTGTGAGTATTGCACAAGTTCCAGGAAGCACCACAGTAAAGTGAGGATCATGCCTCGGCGAAATCCTAGATCCGCCCGGTGGTACACTCAACCAAACTGGTGTTCTTTATCGCTCGCGCTGTGGCTGTGGAGTATCCACAGCTCGATCAGTGACCTGGGCAGCACCAGAACGATTGGCAATACACACTTGAATTCACATTTAGTCACAATTGTCTGAAATGCGGTGCTCGCGCCTCATTTAACCAGCACAGTACATGAGCCTTTTTAACCAAATGGTTTGGTGCTGAGATTTTTCAAATATGGAGGGCGCGTATAAATCCTGGATTTGAGATGTTTTTTAACGTTGCCAAAGCTCAAGCTTTTTCTATTTCAAAGAATTGATGGAGTGATGACGTCAACGTCTACATTGTGGAGGCCCCGCTCAGTATTGTGGGAGCCCAGCCCACATTGGATGGAAGGGATAGGGAAGACCTCATTATTGGAGGGGAGGAGCATGCCCTCACTGAAATACAAAGTTCCTCCCCTAATTACCAGCATGCAGATGGGTCAGATAAGGCCTCGTCATCCCGTTGATTGGAGTCCTGGGGCCCGGAGTCAACTAATGTCAGTGACCAAAAAAAAACCCTCTCTGACCGACAGTAATTACCTCGATATGATTTTGGAACGAATTACACTCCAAACATGCGTTTGCTTTGTTTCACCTGATTTTTGGCATTCGCCGAACGGATATTGATGAGACTCTGGGAGGTCGCGGGTTGACCCGACAGGGCCGCCGAAATGTTATGTTATACCGAAGACGCAGAGCAATGCTACGCGTTGCGCAGTTCTGGTGCGGTTGCGGCATTTTTCAATGGCTATTTTCACACACACGCACACACGCACGCGCAGTTTGTACCCTTACACACCCACACATTTTGTGAAACTATGCTCCAGCTCATGCGCTTGTTTAGTTTGTCATTTTGCCCCATGCACATATCATTGCTTGTTTTAGTGATTTGCTTATTTAGTCAGTCATGCAAAACGTGATACGACCAGCTATGCCAACCACATCTGCAGGCACGGTATGCAAGTCACTGGATTAGCCCTTGGGCCCCATTTCTACCAGATCACTCCCGCCACGCTAGCAGATTGGGCAAACCCGTCCGTAGCCGGGCGGAGCCCGGGGGACGGCTTATTGATACGTTTCGGGGAAGGCGGCGATACTGCCCAACAGCAGACACAGCAGCAGAAGCGTGGCCGGAGCCCGGGGAGCGGCCTACTGACCCGTCTCGGGGAAGGCGACGATACCGCCTAGCAGCAGACACAGCAGCAGAAGCGTTCTACCCTCCATGACCGAGGCTGTTGCGCCACTGAGACGCCGTGGCCCTCCTTTCACCGACGGCAGCTCTGTGACGTCACGACTGAGGCGCCCGGCGTAGCCGTTGAGCACGTGACATTGGGCACCTGGCGGCGGGTGCAAGGCGAGCCACGGAAGGCTAACTGGTTGTAGCCAAGTGGCCGTTGAAACCACTAGCTGTAGCCGGATGACAATTTATGCCGCTGAAGCGAACCGACGATATATAGATATAGATATAGAGAGAGAGAGAGAGAGAGAGAGAGAGAGAGAGAGAGAGAGAGAGAGAGAGAGCGAGAGAGAGAGAGAGAGAGAGAGAGAGAGAGAGAGAGAGAGAGAGAGAGAGAGAGAGAGAGAGAGAGAGAGAGAGAGAGAGAGAGAGAGAGAGAGAGAGAGAGAGGAAGAGAGAGGAGAGAGAGAGAGAGAGAGAGAGGAGAGAGAGAGAGAGAAAGAGAGAGAGAGAGAGAGAGAGAGAGAGAGAAGAGAGAAGAGAGAGGAGAGAGAGAGAGAGGAGAGAGGAGGAGAAGAGAGAGAGAGAGAAGAGAGAGAGAGCGAGCGAGAGAGAGAGAGAGAAGAGAGAAGAGAGAGGAAAGAGCGAAAGAGAAGAGAGAGGAGAGCCGGAGGAGCGAAGAGCGAGAGAGGAGAGAGAGAGCGCAAGAGAGCGAGAGAGAGCCAGCTTCGGGGTATATAGATAAATATCATATATATATAGCGATGCTAGTATATCTCTTTATCATCATCTATCATTATATATTTTTCTATATATATATATATATATCAGTGGGTCGCTGAAGGCCCGCAGCTGGCTTTCAGTGTGAGGCGCATAACAATCACCTAAATGTGAGCTGATGATATGAAAGCCTGCGGAGAACACCAGCTATAACGAACAGCAGCACACAGGCTCTCTAATATCAGACGGCATTCTGCATCTTAATACGTGAGAACAACTCGGAATTTGTACGTTGGCTCTGTAAAATGTTATCCGACAAGGCTGATGCGGCCATGCAATGTGGAGTCTCGTGTTGCTGACGTCGGACTTCCCGAAAAGGGGAAAGGAAAACAGAAAAGGAAATAGGGCAAGGGGATCACTGCATCACTCAACATGGAGACATCATTTGCAATGCCAAAGCTGCATTGTGCATAATATGTATCACTTTTGTATAGCGGTAAAATATAATAATTCAGCTTTGCACTGCGGCAGGTTGCGATAAGTAATTTTTGCCAGTTATGTCAGCGGGTAAACTACCGAAGGGAAATCAAACGTTACCTCGGATTACGAATCGACGAACGTTTGTGACCAAAAGACAGCCAAGGACACGTATTTTGCGACCGTGCTCAGCAAAACCAGACTGATGCAACCACCGGCGTCACAGCGTTTCTTGCGGACATTTTGTAAAAACAAGGACGTGGCAATCCAAACATTACGGAGCCAGATGTACAGGAAGCCTGCAATGTAAGCGCAAACGTCTTCATGGAAAACTCCACACCACCATCGTATGGTCTCCATTGTAGCATCACCAAGTGGTGCCTTGCTGCTCCTCCGGCACTGTATCGTATGATATGCACTTCATGTTTCCAATGTTGCATGCCTCAACGCACTCAACCACGGTTGTAATTGGTTAGTGAATTGTGTATTAGTGTATACGAACTAAAGAAGGTGATGGATGGAATTGGGTGCATTATTCACGGCATTCATGCATGTATTTAGACATCCAGCATCCTATTTCTTTCGTTTGCATATTGATGTCAACAAATTTCCGTACACGACGACACATCTTCAAGAATAATGCATGAGCTTCGATTTTGTCAGTTTCATTGTATGGCAGTGGTGCTCAAACTTGATGGATGTCTAAGACCGAAAGGCTGTCCTCAATATAAAAAGCTTAGCTATTATCGGTCAATGGTCTATTATTCCATACTATACGTTAGTCAGTTCCGAGTAAGCTATAGTTGAATGCACATGCAAATTTGTTGGCATTTCTCTTGCAACGACTCGTACCACCATGTTGTGCCATGCTGTTCGCTGGAAGAAAACGCAGCCTAACGTTTGTGGCGTTTAAGTCTTATCTGCGCTTGCCATCAAAGGAAACTACTGCCAAACGTACGAAATAATAGCTCCATGATAGTCTCCTTACTGCTGTTTGACACGCGGTGCAGATAGATACTGGCCCCATTCCATGCTATACTTGCTTCGATCTCCACATACGCATCGCAGTCTTTGTGTTCATTTTCTAACGTTCTCCGAATCCGCCAAAAATCTCAATGACTTATGATAGATCAATGGCCTATTGGGTATCCAAATGTGCGAATAAAGAAGAGCCTGCTTTAGTTTAGAGGACGCATAACTGTTTTTCTCAGATAATTTTACTTCAGGAGCAATGGCCTGCTTCCTGCAATCGTGCTACTTTGTAGGCTGCGTTTCCTTGTCTGGCCACCTGGAGACGCAATTCCAATTCCGACGGCCCGGCGAGGACTAAGGAGGGTAGTAAAATATATACATAATTGTAGCTGGCACGCCATCTTTTGGAATAATCGCATGCAATAATAAAGGTGGAAAAGCCGTTTGATGTGTAATGCAGAGCCGGCAGCACGGAGAAAGGCAGAGGGGTAGCTGCCCTCTGTCGGTAGGCAGGAGTAACAGGAGTATGTTTTTGTTCCCTCATATTTTGGGAGGCCTCTTTTCCCCAAAAACATGTTTTTAGCCACCTGCAGATCACCAAAATTCAGACCAAGGAAGATCCATAACTGAGCTAGAGATTAATCATCCCTTTTACTGATCGGGCTTTTTTAGATTTGATGAAATCGGCTCCGAAGACACTTTTCTGAATCAAAACACCCGTTTTCTGGATAATGAGACCGCCAGGGGGGGGGGGGGTGATACGACCTACCCCTAGCGGTTTAGTGAGTATATGTCTCCAGCATGTCATGTAACCGCCGCCATATTTTTGGGGAACTGCGCGGAATGCACTGCGTATGTTTGGAAATCAGAAACGTGTCTTCAGCTTTTCTTATTTCGAGGAGCGTTAAGGACGCTGCACGGCGATCCGCGGTTGGCGTGGGCGGTGGACGGCAACCGACGAATTCGCGGACGACGCGCAGTGGACGTTGTTACAATACAGGGAATATTCCACCTTTGAAGGATTGGGGTATTTTAGGTGCTGCCAAACCAGCTGTGCGAAATTGCTACCCTAGCACTCCTTTGTGGTAGTCAAACTCGCCGGGAGATGGCAGTGGCGGTACTGGAAGTGTTAGGTTAGCGAAATGTGTTCGTGTTTTGGTCCTTTTTCATTGTGTTCTTGCGAATTTATCCGCGAGTTTAATATGTTTGCTTGTATACACATGGTCAGCTATTAGGCTTGTCCTTAATTATCCGATTACTAGCTTATTTTCGTAATAACTAGCGATTGCATCCAAGTTCTTATAGCATGAGCACAACACGCGTCTCGAGACTGAAACTAGCGCAGCTTGCGCAGCATTCATTGAGAGCCGATTGACGTCCACTTTATTAGTGATGCAAGCTTTAACTATCAAGCTGCAGTTAACAGCAATCCAATCGCATAGCCCGCTTGAAATGTCACGCGCAGCGTCCATGCCAGCCGCCTCTAGCCGGCGACACGGAACGATCTGGGCCACCTGCGCTGGCTCGATGGCGCGCGCGGAAAATCGGCCTTATCACGCCTGTCATCACCAATCCGTTGGTGACGGGACGGCGGTGCACTAATGCGCAGGTCACCAAGGACACGGACGCCGCCAGCGAGCGCCGTCCGTACCCGTCAGGGGCGAGGACAGCATTGTGAGGGAAGGGGAGGGGGGGGGGCAATGTCCATCCGCTCCTGCCGTTCAGCTGGAGCGGACAGGCAGCCGGGTCACGGACGAGTCCAGCTATGAGGCAGCCCCGGGGCAGAGCGGCCCGCGGAGTGGACCTGAGCACGAGCCGACTGGAGTGCAGACGGGCGACGGGGTCGGGTCAAGGGTGTCCGGCTGACAGAATGGTCCACGGTCCAGACGGCGGCACTCCCACGAGGCGGGCGCGCCACCCGTCGGCAGAGCGGCACTCCCACGAGGCGGGCGCGCCACCCGGCTGCAGGCCTCCAGCACATCGCTTGCGCTGCTGCCACTGAAGATGTACCGGCATGACTTTTATCTTTCGGTGGACGGTAAGGCGCTTGAGTAAAGCTAATGCATTAACGTTTGGGGCCCACATCACCAAGGCCATTACAACAAAATAGATCAGTGCAGGATTTTAAATGAATTCCGTGCAAGATGAGTCTGCACTTTTCGCTGATTGCATGATACTGAATGTTTAGCGCTGTGTTCTCCGAAACACGTTTCACGGTGTATTTAAGAGATACTTGCTCTCAGGTGAATTACATTCCTGTTCTCATGTGTGCACAAGAGCGGATCTGAACGCCTTCATGGCAGGAGGAAAATGTCACTTTATTTTTACATCAAGGAATGTTTTTATAAACAAACTGCGACGAACCAATTGCCTAAAATGTCTTCAAAATCCGTATATATATATATATATATATATATGCATTGTGTCCGACCTCGGTCATTTTAACGTGACGGCAAGGGACAATTGCCGTCCCCCTGGATCCGCCATTCTTTGTACACAAGATATAACGCGCTTAGATCGTGGGGATTGCAGAACTCAAGGTAAGTTACTAGAGGCTATTAGAGCCACTGGGAAATGGATAAAACAACGGGAGTACGTCGGCATTATTGCAGAATATTACCATCCACACTCATTCTGAGCATATGAGGCCTGATCATCAAATTCAACATTATCTGGAAGAGCAGCACATCAGTCCGACACAGGCGACACACGGGGAGATGCCCACCTAGGTAGCGGCTTAACAGCAGCGCACGAGCCCGAGGCAGCTCGGGCGGCAGCGCACCGTAATGTCGCACCCCGACAGCCAAAACAGCTCCTGCCCACTTCGCTGCGGGTCAGGGATGCACGCGGGTGATGTCCTCGACGGCTAGTTCGGTGACGGGTCTCA